AGTACTGTTTCTTCCATTAGAAGAAGGCAGTTTTTGAAAGTACATTATTTATAAATACCTCATCTCATGGAATATTTTCATATCAGGTAATCTTTTGTTCATCAGCTTGAGATTTAGAAGGTAATTTGTTTTTCAAATGACGTAATAGTGGGCAAAACCAGGAAACATTGCCAGCAGTTCTTGGTCATGAATAAATAATACTTGCAGAGAGCTTTATGATTTCCAAGGGACTGAAGCTTTAAGGGGTCTGTTTTTCTGGTCCCAAATGGCTTAAATTTTTCTACATTTGTGTTGGAAGCAAGTGGGCAACTTTCCCCTCTGGTAGTTGAAGACAACCATCCTGTAGGTACATTTTCAAGTAAGCCTTTCTAACCTGGGGGGGGGGGAAGATTTGTATTCCATGTTAAGCATTACAGACAATTAAATACAGTAGTTCTAAAAGTATATGTAGCCCTGCTTGGCCATGATTTATTTGCTGCTACAGAAAAAAGTGTAGAGACATCCAGAAAATCCGTGTTATACAGATTATACAAGGAATTATGCCTCAGTTTTATAACTGAAAGGTCTTCCTAGGCTGTACCTCAGTAGATTGGAGAACTAAGGCAATGCTGCCATTGTCTATGTAGTGACATCTGGATCTTATAGCACATATCGCTTGCTGGAGCCAGGATGACTGCAGTGTACTAGACAAAGCCTTCCTGCTCCTTCCAAACCTTGGACGTGGCATGATGAGTTAAAGACTCCTCAGTTGAAGCAGAGGCAGGGTGTGGCAGTGCCTTTGCTCATGATCCTTGTGCAGTAAGGGCTGTATTGTATTTGAATGGCAGTTGCTGAGCAGCACAAGCAGGGGACTGCTATTGCACATGTGTCATTCTTGCACGCTTCCCATACACATTTTATTGACCATGTAAGAGGGCGTAATGTGACTAGATGGACCTTTGGTTTGAACCAGCAGGGCTCTTGGCATTCACTATGATCTCAAACTTTGCATGCAAAATTTGGTGTTGTACACCAGTTTGCATTGTGCATGTGTAAAAACAATTTGGGATCTTCATTCATTATTTACTTATTAAATTTGTATACCACCCTATGCCCGCAGGTCTCGGGGCAGTTGTAACATAAAATCACAATATAAAAACATGAAATGAATAATAAAAATAAAACCAACCCAATAAACACACACACCCTTCAGTTGCATTCACTTCAAAGGGACTAGCAGAAGAGAATTTTCTCAGTGATCTGGATGTGTCACAGGTTTGCACACACTCTACCTCTTGGATCAATAACACTTCATTGATAAACTGAAGGGATCTGTAAGGAGTTCTAAAAAAACAGTTTGCTGTGGAATTTGTGAATAAAATTTTTAAAATAATATAGAAACAAAAGGTTAGTAACATTTAACTGGGCTTTAAAAAGAAGAAAAATAATATTTACTTGTGTAAATTATAATATAATTAATATAATATAATATAATATAATATAATATAATATGCTTTTAAAACTTTGGCCTTCATCATAAAAGTTTCTAAATAATTACATATCTAGTACAAAAGTTTCCTTCAGCTTTTTCTTATGTAAAACTATGTGCTAAATGAAAGTGCTTCAGATGTTTGAAGTATTAGAAAACTGCAGCTGATACTCAGTTGCTCTTGTGATACCTGGTGTAGTTATTAATTTGAATTGTTCAGGCAGCAATACCCAAGACCCCCAAATATAGTATAAATTCTTCTGTTTTTAGCCCCCTTGTCTGTTCATAGCACCCATCTCATGAATAAGTGCTAGAAATACTTTCCCACAGCCTCACCAACACTTCTGAATAAACATGCACTGAAAGTCATGCAAATAATGCTGGAGGAGGTTCCTTCACATCTGTCTGCTGTTCCCCTGTGATCACCCCTCTTGCAGCCACCAACCCACCCACCCACACTGCATCTGCTATGCCCATTTCCCTTTTTTTTGCATGTACTAAGGCAAATGAATGAGTTCTAGGCTTCAGAGATCGTAAAGTTGTAAATAATAATAATAATTTTAAAAAATTGCCATGTTAATTTTTGTGAAATGGTAATCTCACTTGCATTGTGTCTGAGGTGGCAAAGCCTCTGGTTCTTCTTGACCAAGCAACTGTGGCTACCCTGGAATGTTAATTTACTCTAGTAAATTTCCTGCCACTGGTGCCTTCACTCCTCTTGATTCTCTTCAGTTGCCTTAGGAACCAAACAGTCCAGCTTCTGTGAGGGAAGGGGAAATTGTCCGTTTGGTTTGGATTATTGCCGCAGAGAGAGAGAGAGATACATTATTATTTTTTTGCTTTCTCCAAATCCTAGTTCATAAGAGCTCAAGAGAGGGGATTTTTGTGTAACACTTGTCAGAAAAGTGGACTTATGGAACCACAATCATTAGTTTAAAGACTGTTCTGTCTTTGATCTCCTTGCTTCAGTTTCATAACTTGCACTGCGGAACCACTTCAGCAAGAATTACTAGGAGATTATCTTCCCTCTTCCTTAGAAATCTCATATAGAAAGCCACTGTCCAAGTAAAATACTATATAACCATCTAAATAGCAAAACAAATGTTAGTACACTTATCTTTCAGTTTCCCCTCAGCAGCCTATTTGGAGACTTCTGTCACATTATTCATTGTGAAAGTCCTATTCACATTTTAATGCATCTTTTGCTATTTGATGCATAAAATGCCTAGATTTGTTCTTACTCTTTTTTATGTTTATCAGACCTGGCCCAGGTAGATGAAAAGTGGTACTTTTAGGAATGGCATATAAAATTGTCTAAAATGGTTCAATATGGTAGCTGTGGTCTGGGACATTTTTTTTTAGTTCATGCTCAAACAGAAATCGCCTTCACTCTGAATTGACATTGTGATGTCACCACATGCCATATCTTACTGACCACATGGCATTAATATAATCACATTGACGGTCATCCCCAATTGCCTGGAATCACCTAGTGAAGCAGAACCTTTCCCCCAATTTTTAAAATATTGCTGAAGAAGCAATAAACAGGGGGAAATGTTGTAAACCATTGTGCGGGGAGGCCTTGCACTCTGAAAATGTTTTTATATAAGAACATTTGGTGCAGCTGTGTTACTGAATAATTTCAATATATTCTGCTATTCTAGCACGTAACATGCTAAAGCATGTTATTTTTGTTTGAAAATAGTGAATGTAATGTACTGTTTTACACCAGGTCTTTGGAACAGGAACTTCAAGGACCATTTCGGAAGACTCTAGAAAGCAACTAGCAAATACTTATTTACTGCTTCCACATATCAACAGTATCCAGATCTCACAGACACTGGTATAGTAACTTTTTTAAAAAATAAATAAATTATATTTTAGGGACCATGTAAGGTTGCTTTGTTTTTCAAAAAGAACTGTACCTCAGCTTTCTATTTAATGTTAATGGAAATGATACCATGGGGTTTTAAGGGCTATTGTTGTTTATTCTTGGCAGAATATTGTAGTGGGGAGGGAGATAGTAGTATTGTTGACAGTATCTCGCTCTGCAACAGTACAAATGTAGGAATAATCATTCCTGTGAGTTGCACAATTGACAACTGATCACTGAAAGCCCAGGTACTATGCACACATGTCCTTGTTTCATTTCCTGCGTTGCCCTTTGCTGCTCTCCAGTACAGTGGTACCTCTAGTTGCGGACACGATCCGTTCGCACCTCGAAAAGTCCGCAACTAGAGCTGCGCTTCTGCGCAAGCGTGGAGCATTATAGAGCGCTTCTGCGCATGTGCGAAGCATGCAGAACGCTTCTGCACATGCACGCGGGGCGAAACCCGGACGTATACACTGCTGGGTTTGCCGCGTTTGCAACCCGAAAATCTGCAACATGAAGCAAACACAACAAGAGGTATGACTGTACACTAGAAGTAGCTGCTCTTTGGAATAACAATATTTCTTACTTCTCATTGCTGATTATATATAGATTTGTACGCAAATAAAAAACGCGCACCAGGCAATATGTATGGAAGTTACCTTCATTCTTTGTGCCCTATAACACACTCTAACCCCCAAAATCTGTCCCACCAGCCCCAAAAGGTTGGTAAACCCTGATGTGGACCAAACAGACAGGCTGTGTAGAGCAGAAGAGGCCAGGATTTGAATAAGCTCCTTTGTGTATTCCAAATCTATGGCCACACACACAATGTCTTGTGATAAACCCTTGAGAATAGAGTATTTAATTTCAGCATCTTGGTTTTCTCTCCGGATCAATCTCTACCTGCTCCCCATCCCACCAGCCCAAGAAAAAAGAAACAGACAGAGAGAAAGCAACACATTCTCTCCACTTCCTCTTCAAGGCTCAGATCAGCAGCTCGTGTAGCAGTCTGAGCTTTAAAAAGCACCTAGAGGTGAAAGAGGAAGTGGGGAAAGGGCATCAGATAAACCAGTTTCCTCCCCTAGTTCTATGTACTTCTCAAGGGGAATAGATAACCGCCCTCAACTACCTCATGGGGGGGGGGGACTCGAGGTCTTGCAGTCAGCAGGGCAAATCCTGCGCAGTGCCATTGTGTCCAGAGTTGTCGCACTGGAGTCTGTAGGTTCCAGTACTATTTCCAGCATTTCCGGGCAGGACCTGGCATTCAAAATTAGTGTGTTTTTTAAGAGTGTTGCTCAGGGTCTCTTTCCTAACTTTGCCACAGCAAATAAATTTTAAAATTTAAAGAATTGTCCAGTAACACCTTAGAGACCAGCTAAGTTTGTTCTGGGCATAAGCTTTCATGTGCATGCATACTTCTTCAGATACCATGCACACAAAAGCTTATACCCAGAACAACCTTAGCTGGTCTCTAAGGTGCTACTGGATATTTTTAAATTTTATTTATTTATTTCGACTGTGTCAGACCAACACAGCTACCTACCTGAATCCTTTGCCACAGCAAGTTTCTTTCATATTGCGACCCAGCTCCTCATTTGTACATTAAAAAAAATAAAAAATCTGGTGTTAAAATATTGTTGTTAGAATCTTCGAAGTCAAATAATCGTGAAATCTACAGCTAAAGATTAGGCTAGTTTTTCTCTAATGGTTGCTAGGCCAGTGCCAGCTGGGATGTCATCTTGCTGAGTTTATACTTGAAAACTTGACTGGAAGCATTACATGCATTTTATAAAGGGAGAAGCTACGTGAGCGCAAAAACAAACATGCCTACTGTTTGTGAAATGTGTAACAATGCTTGTGGGTCTTCCTTGTTGGGAAACATCTATGTAATTGTTCTGCTGCTTGTCCTCCAGCAGCAGCAGCAGCAATAATTATCATAATCTGGTTTGAGCCACTTTTTATGCGTCTGCTTTGCACAGAGCAAAGTTTTGTTTGCAAGTATTTAAAACACACACAGAGGAAAGGATGGATTTGTATTTATTTATCCCTTAAAGTTACTTTAAATGCTTTATGAAATTATTGCAAACTCGATCACTGGCTCTGCCTGCTGTGGCAGAAGCAAGGGGAACAGGTTTGCTATATTAAATGTGGCAACAGAAGTGTACTGGCTTTAGCGTTAATAACACTAAGGCAGTTTATTCTGTAACATAACAGCAACATAGAAGATACTCTGTTCTTTAAGAGTTCGCACGAAGATGTTCTGCAATTCTTATTGCATGGATATGTGGCTGTTCATTGTGAATGTTTATGTGAAGGTTTCTGATGGTTCTCATGTATCTATAACTGACAAAACCATTTATTGTTCCCACCTTTTGACCTTGAATTCCTGCAAAATGTGGTGGGTTTAGGAGAAGAAATTGAGATTCACATTTGAAAAAAAGAACCAGCAAATAATTAAACAGTTAAATAATGGTATGATTAGATGTGCTATAGCTCCCCCTCATGGGTATTTGAAAGGATTCTTAACCAGAAAATAAATTGGCATAATGGAAAGCTGACTTTGCCAATGGTACTGTTCATTAGTGAATTTAATTTCAAAATACCTGATTTATATAGAGTATACAAGCTCTAAGTATCCTTGAGGACCAAATTTAGGACCATAAGTTGCCATATTTGTTTGAAAATAGATCCGTTTTTTGGCGTATGGTTGAATTTGCTAAAATATTTTAGGTATGTAGCAATGTAATCGACCATGTAAAACACAGAAGGTTTTATAAAAAGTTGTCAGAATTATATAATTGTCAAGGTTGCTGATAATAAAAATGTAGAGTTCATTATCACATTTATTATAACACTTTATCTAAGGAGCTCAAGATGGCATACATTGCTTTCCCCCTCCCATCCTCACAATAACCCTAGCAGACGGACAGACACTGGTTCAAAATTACCCAGTGAGTGTCACGGCCAAGTGGGGATCTGAAACCTGGTCCTAGTCTAATGTTCTAAGCACTCCATCACATGTCTACACACCATACTGGTTTGACCTTCTTTGACTCTGGTTTTTTTGTTTGTTTTTCCAGGCAGAAACTAGGAATGTCAGTCACTTAAAAGTTCGTCTTGAATGCCGATTACTTAACAAATTGTATCAGCATTTTAAGGTACGGTGTATACTTTTCTTCCTAAATCAGAGACTACACCAGCCACGCACAGCTAAGCTAGTTGAGCTGGACTCAGCTGTGGTCTTGAAGTAGCCTTTACTTACTGTTTTGGGGGCATCAACGTATATGAACAAGGGTGAATCCTTAAGGCTAATTCAGGATATTTTAGCTTCTGTGACAACTTTAGGTCTATTCCATGGAACAGCTAACCCAGGGTATGGATGTTTTGGTTGAGATTCCTGCAGAGCAAGGAGTTGGACCAAATGACCCTCGGGGGTCTCTTTCAACTCTACCGTTCTGTGATTCTATGTGACACTGCACTGGGAAGTAGGTGCTTAAGTGATATTGTATGCTGAGATTACTCTGTAGTTGGAGCATTACCTCCTCAAAGCACTGATCCCTTTAATCCTGTGTATGCTGGCATAATGAGGAAGTTACGTTGGTACACTCTATGTAGTGCATTGAATTCTTTGGGAATTTCCCCCATTGATCTTGCCAACTGTGATCTGACTGGCATAATTCATTTTTTGAATTGCAGCCTGTCTTTGGCCGTTAAAACAAAAAAAAATTCCTTCCAGTAGCACCTTAAAGACCAACTAAGTTAGTTCTTGGTATGAGCTTTCGTGTGCATGCACACGAAAGCTCATACCAAGAACTAACTTAGTTGGTCTTTAAGGTGCTACTGGAAGGAATTTTTTTGTTTTGACTATGGCAGACCAACACTGCTACCTATCTGTATTTGGCCGTTAAGAATGTCTTATGCCAAATCTGATGCTGACCGTGCAAAAAGCCATAACATCATTCTGAGGACTATGTCTTAGCAGTGCCATTTTTATGGCTGCATGCCATCAAGTAGATCCAATCTAGATGGTGAATGGCTCAACAAATCCTTGCAATTCCAACCTGAATATTGTTGTCTTTATAAGGAAGACAACAATATTCAGGTTGGAACTGCATGGATTCATTGAGCCATTCACCATCTAGATTGGATATTTCTTATTCCCAAATCTTTGCTTATTCCCAAATATTTTCTCTACGGGAAATTACCAACTACCATATTGACCTAGGCTCTATCTGCTCACAGTAACTTTAATTCAGTGTATCTGTTTTCTTCCAGCATGACTGCTTCCTTTTTAGATTCTGCCTCTTTACCTCTATCACACACAACTTAGAAAATCACTCTGCCTATTTTAGAACATAAATTCTGTGATTTCCTGTTTGCTTACATCGCATATATACATATATACAATCTATCATATATTTAAAGATGTACAGTATAAGACAGACTGTCCTTTGCTTGTCATCAGTGTGACCTGAAGATTAGCTCAAAGTTTCTTGTCACCAGTTCCCACATTTTACCATTCATAGGAGCCAACTCCTAGGGGCCAAGTGGTTTTTGCCCCCCCCCCCCCGTAAAATAATTGAGGAGGCTGCCCCCCTTAAGTCTATGGGCACTGCCCTTCAAATGGTGTGCATGCACCGCATCATGTGATCGATTATGTAGGGTGGGGTTTACCTGCCCCCCCAATATTTTATTTAAGTTGGCACCCCTGTTGCCATTCCATGTCAAGAAGTGCCTAACAGTTAAAAGGCACCCTCTTACTGGAATATACTTTTGTGGATTAAGAAGTGGAGGTCTGCCTTGTCCACTGTCCATATATGCCTGTAGATTTACGGTAATTCTCTTTTGAAGGTGCTAAACTAACTTTTAGAAGAAAGATATAATGGTCACATTAGAAAACTGTGTGTACATGTCTATTTACACTTATGTACCCACCCATCCTGGTCCCTGCTCCTGCCAACCTAGCAGTTCGAAAGCACGTCAAAGTGCAAGTAGATAAATAGGTACCACTCTGGCGGGAAGGTAAACGGCATTTCCGTGCACTGCTCTGGTTCGCCAGAAGCGGCTTAGTCATGCTGGCCACATGATCCCAGAAACTGTACTTTGGCTCCCTCGGCCAATAAAGCGAGATGAGCGCCGCAACCCCAGAGTCGGCCACAACTGGACCTAATGGTCAGGGGTCCCTTTACTTTTACTTTTTACCCACCCATCATTTTTGTTTCCTTAACTGTGTATAGCTAGAGGATTTCCAGTGCAGAATGTGCAGAGGAACAGTATTTATCCTAAAGAGGCAGAATGGATATCATGCTGTCCCATTGCTGTGCATTTGTAGCAGAGCATTATTTCCTAAATTAGTATAACTTTCTCTTCAGATTCCCAGCAAAACACCTCCTCTTTGGGCATGCTAGACACCAGGATTTTTTTAAAGGGACCATAGCAGGTTAAGTCTTGCAGTTCTGAATGAATCATTCTGATTGCTCTCGTGTGAATAATTTTTTGGATTTCCCTTTCTGTTTTGCATTAGAGTTGCTGCTTTGCATCTGATGGCCTAATGCTGCTAGAGATAAGCTTAATGGTCAAAATGGAAAATATGCAACATGAATTTGTGGACCTTAGACAGTACTTACTGGAAAACCTTTTTGTAGTTTATGTAGCAATGGACAAAACACAGACCTCTGGTAAGTCCAAGATGTGTCTGCATGTATGTTTCATTGATATAGTATGTTCTTGCAGCAATGGACAAAAATATGGTTTGACCTTTTGACTGTTATTCTTTTTTTTTTTTGAACAGATGATTCCCCAGTAGTCTTGTATGTGTTGCATTCAGGGAGCAACCTTCTTTATGTGCAGGTAAGTTTTTAAAAAATATATAATTTAGTACAGGGGTTCTTAACTTGTGGTCCAGGGAACCCTAGGGAGTCCATGGATGGCTTCAGGGGTTCCTTGAATCAGGTGCAATTTATCCCACCCAATGTTGTAAATGAAACTGCATGTAAAATTGTGTATGTATATGTTTGTGTGCATTTTTCTGGGAAATGAGTCTATAGCTTTTATCAGATTCACAAAAGGGATCCACGTCTGATTGTTAAGAGTATCATAATTAGCTTAAGAACTATCCTTGGGTGAATGTAGATGATTTGAGATTTGATCTGACAAATTGCAGTTTAAATTGTCGTGAAGATGAACTTCACAGCAGCTAAGGCAGTTATAGCATTATACTAATGTAACTATGTGATTTCTTTGTAGGATGTAAAACACTTGTCACAGGAAGGAAAATTTTCTGTGCAGTTTGAGCCAATATTGCTGCCATCACTGACCACAAATTTCACAAGAGTTGCTTCTGTTGTTTGTAAAGGTACAGTGTATTCAATACAACATAGTCTGATGTATACCTTCCCCATTATACAATATGACAAAGTTTATTAAAGAGGATATGGCATGTAACAGATACACTTCCTGAAGATTATATATTAAGTGTCCATTTTCATGACCACTTCTAGCACATCTGTCCCCCCACCCCACCCCCGCAGCCCCAAAAAGAGAGATGTAAAGTTCAGGACATCTTGAAGCCATGGAATAAACATTTTTCTGTGCAGTGGTGTGTGGGGAGATGAAATAATTGCATTCTTGTCAGAAATACTTGCATTCTTGTCAACTTAAGCTTGCACACTTACCTGCTTACCTGCTGGTAACTTGCACAAAAGTTGATGGCACTTAGTGCTGTGCTGTAAATCTATTATGTGCAATGTACCTACAACACAATGTTACGTACTATGTTTATGAAATTTACAAATGCCTTGGTTTTATTCATAAACAAGGACAAATGCTTTAGGAGTGTGCATAAAATTCCATTTTATTTCTGAGCCACTCTGTGCAACTTTGTATTTCAGTCTGTAATTCTGCTCCTCCAGCACTTGGTATAGAACTGCAGTCTGCTGAAACTCCACATTACCTAACAATGCACTGGTGTTCATCAGTTGGGGAAAGAAGCTCTTAAAATTGTAGTAAACAAATGGGCTATGGGCTCACATTATTGTGATGCAGAAACAGAAGAAGGAATTCAGTAGTATAGCCTGATTGCACATAATAGGGCTGATGTGGTTAAGCCCCATTGAAGTCAGTGGAACATGCTTCTGGAGTTAACCTGCAAAAGCTCAGGCAAGAAATCTCTCATAACCAGAGAGATTTAGTCATCCTGAACCCACATTTGTTTGATTTGGATCACATTCCATCCCAATCAGTAATATATCCTGAGATATTGGCATAACTGTGCAGGAAAAATGGAACCCTTTGAACACCCAATAAAACGTCAAAATGTAGATAAGGCTGAATCAAGAGCACTGCATTTAGCCTCCTTAGAATAACAACATTCTCAGACTATATATTAAAAAGTGTGTGCTACAATAAGATGTCTGTTTTCCTTGGCACAGGTACGTTGTGTGGCCCTGGAAGCAATCACATTGCTAATGAGAGGACGAATCTGTTAGACAGTACAGCTTTGCCAAAAGCATGCCATTCCCATCCTGTAATGGAAGGGTGAGTTTTTTTTGCTTAATGCTGCCATTTTAAATTATTAAACATATACCAAAGCAAAGAAGTTGATAACACTTTTTGAAGTTCATGCTCTATATAGTTATTTGTGTGAAAACAGAAGGGTGTTCTAGCTCTGGTCTAGTTCATGTGGCAGAGCACAAATGACTTGCAGGGCTTCTTTAAATGTCATGGAGCTCTACAAATCCCACTTCCACATTATATATCCAGGGCATATAGAGATTTCCATGTACAGTGGTACCTCGGGTTAAGTACTTAATTCGTTCTGGAGGTCCGTTCTTAACCTGAAACTGTTCTTAACCTGAAGCACCACTTTAGCTAATGGGGCCTCCTGATGCCACCACGCCACCACCGCACAATTTCTGTTCTCATCCTGAAGCACTATTTCTGGGTTAGTGGAGTCTGTAACCCGAAGCATATGTAACCTGAAGCGTATGTAACCCGAGGTACCACTGTATTGCTGTCTGTCTCGAGAGACAATGGAAGAGTACACCTTTGGGGGTAAAGTCAAACTGTTGGAGAGGTGGTTGTAGAGACTAATAAGGGGAAGCCCTGTTTTATAGCAGCTGGGGCAAGTGAAGGTGTCTGGTTTCACTGTTAGTAATACACCATGGCATTTCTTCTCTCTACACTTCTCCCAGTGGTCACTGCTGTGTATACATGACTTCTCTTTCTGTCTCCAGACACTGCGGTTGTCTGCAAGTGATTTCCACCTGGCAGAGTTAATGTTGCCAGCCTTCGTGTCACATTTGCAGACATCTTTGTAACACAGATTAATGTCACAGTCTTCTTTATAAACAGAATAAAACTTTTACTTGAGAAAATAAAGTTGTTAAGCAACAGCATAGTCAAAGAGCATACACAGAGTGCTCATAGCAGCTATCTAATGCTTCACAGAGACATTGTCTTAGTTACTGATTAACTGGAGTCCTAGAGCCACTCTGTCTGCCTTAAACAATACAGATACACACACTGGCTGAGACGCACAGGCACTGACTGAGGCCCATAGAGAGGCTGGATACCTTTATAGGGGACTCAAGATGAGTCACGAGTCACAGTGACTTTGCAGTTTACTGTTACAAGTTACAGCTAGCAGGCTTGAATGATTGTATAGGTCTTGTAGGCCTTGCCTTACTTCTCCTGCTCTCAAGAACCTTTGTCTCATGACACAGAGAGCTGGTTGGCCATCAGGCCTGGTGCCTGAAGCCAGCCCATCTTTGGGGCTCCTGCCATCTTCCATTCTGTGTACATGACCAAGCCAGCTTATGTATGAGGTATATTTCCCATGTAGTGGATCTAGGGAAAGAAACACAAGAACCTCAGTTGTTTACCACATGCTATGTTCTCAGGTGTTCTACTTTTGAAGTGTGCATAGTCACACTCATCACATGATGTCCTGGCTCATGTGGAAGACATAGTTCAAATCAAATAGCATGGCTAGAAGTTTCTTCCTTGCCTTCAAATAGGCTTTCAGTGAAGTCAGTTCACATATTCACCTGTGATGCAAATGATGTATGCAGATGTGAAGCAGCCCTATCTAATTTGTGATCTTACCCTTATATTTACTTTGATTTAGTCCATTTGAATAATTCCTAATGCAACTTCCAGGGCATGCTACTCTCACCAGGTGGTTTATAAGTCTGAAAAATTTATGTATATGCACACACAATACAGAAATATTATAATCAAATAAGACAATATTATTTGATAAACAGCAGTAATAAAAAGGTACGCTTTAAAGATCCTGGTTAGACCATAAGGCAGGGTGTGATTTTTTTGCAAGTAAATAACATTTAGCAGTGAACTGTTTTCTGTCTACAGGTATGTTGGAATCGATCCATTTGCAACGGTATTTTATATAGAACCACATCGCAGTATTTCTGCATCTTGGTTAATATGGTTTACCAACAATTTTGATTTTAGCATTGTGCTAAATGACGTATATGTTTCAAGAGAAACAAAGGATATTTTAAAGGTGAGTTTTTCTTGTAAGCCTCACTTGGTACTTTTCCTTAAACAATTAGCAATGTATATCAGCATCCCATTCATTAAAATCTCCATTTATATACTGGGCGTGTGTACTCAGCCCTTAAAAAAAAAAAGAATCACATCAGAAGAACCAAGAAAAGTTTAAATTGTGTTGCTGGTTGATAAATTGTGAACAGTTATATTAAACTTCTTATTTTGTATTTATTTTAGTCTGCTAGTTGTGGAATTTGGGAAGAGCTTATTCGGGACATAAAAGTCCCAAGCTGACCAGATGAAGATAATAGCTTATCTTCCCATTTCTGTATTCTGAAATGTTGCCAGGCATTCCCTGCACATTTTTCGAATCTTTCCTCATGGCAGGCTTGAGGCTGTCAGGGTGCTGATTTTTTCACCCATTACCAAATTCCATACATGCACAGCATGACTGTTAAGGAATGCAAGCAGCCCTGCTTAATAATAATAATAATAATTACATGAATAATTAGATAAATTTATTTAGCTAGGGCCCAATCTGCCACTCCCCTGTGTATCATTAGAAGCAGAAGATAACAAACGGAGCAAGATTTTTCATGCAGATGTACTTTATATGCACTTGGTTTGATCTGATGTTTTTTTGCCATTAGGTTCTGAACTTCACAGATCCTTTGACTCTACCTCCAGGATGTTGGAATGTGTTTTCCTTGAAACTCCACATCAAAGAATCAGTAACAAGTTTATTTTCCAATATTTTTGTGGCCACAAATATTGGAGTGATATTCGAGATACCGCTGCAAATTTATTCTGCTTTGTCACAGGTAGTATATTGCATTGCATATGTTTACAGTAGTATATTCTGATTTGCATATTTTATAGTTCATAGAGTAATAATTAATTTTTTGAAGTGATACTATCTTTTCAGAGTATTAGATTTTTGGAAGGTTTATCCAAATTTCAAGTTAGGAAAATGTCGTTAGGAAAATGGTTGAATGAAGTCTTAATTTACGCAGAGTCACTGGAGCATCAAATATTCCTTCTGAATTCATTTTGTATTGTATTGAATAGGGTGCAGAACTCAAACCAGGATACTATGGAACACTTTGCATATTATTTTAAGTGGTGGAAATTGAAAGTGCACATGATTCTGAAAGCTAGTGGAGATTGTTTAAGGTGCAAGCACTTTTCACAACTTCCATCAAATGTGCAAAGTGGCTTGATTCCCCCACCCCCTCTTTAATTGTTTGTATTTTTAAAAAACATTGGGTGTGGGGAAATATTGAAAACCATAGAATTGTTCTTTGCATGCTGACTTAAATACAATCATAGAATTGAACAGTTGGAAGGGACCCCAAGGGTCATCTAGTCTTACCCCTGCAATATTTGTTAATTTATTTAGTGCTTTAATCAATGTTTTTCAGAAGGGAGATCTTCATTTTGAAGCCATAGCACATCGTGATGTGTACTGTTCCTTGCGAATGTCAGACACAGGTAAAAGCAGAAAAGAAGGGTGTTCCCATCTATGATACTAATGGATAAATAAGATGTGCTGTTTTTTTTAAGTAAACATTTCTTTCTGAATGCTTAACTTCTTCTTGGTAGATTTTAGCAGCCTTCTGGTCATGCTATGTTGAACATCTTATAGTGAAGTGAGTCTGCTTTAGATAGTCTGCTTTTGTTCTGGGGAAAGAGGCAATGCAGATTTGTGAGCATGGCTCACAGGGGTGCTGGTTTTGCAAGAGCCTAAAAGGGAAGGTGGGGCAGAAAATTGTGCAAGAGGGAGAGAATAATATTGGGGTATATTTTTTAAAAAATATAGAAGTTTGTGGTCTTGTGCATAAATATGGGGGGTGGTGTTTAAGAGCTGTTATGCTTTGGTCATACTATTTCTAAATGTGTTCTCTTTATGACTTCTTGAAATCAAATTTTGGAACAAAAGCAATAAACAAATATTATGTATCATTGAAACGGAATGTTATTCTTTTAGCAAATCTGCTTTGGGAAAGGAGCCTATCTCTGGACAGTTCTACATGGAGTGTGGATTCTGACCTTGCATATCAGCTCCATGAAAAATGGCAAAAAATTAAGCACAATGAAATTTGCAGGTGTGTATACAGAATGTTCTTAATTTCAGCATTAGAGTGGTAAAATCTTGGTATGCTTACGGTCAACGTGTTAAAATCCATGATATAGGGGCTAATACTAAATAGTCACATCATGCATTACAGAGGGTACAGACATAGCACTCCTGATTCCTTAAGCGTGGTTAAGGGAACAGGCCTTGGACCATAATGTTACATGCATCTTCTGCTTCCTTCCAGTACCCCCTGTCCTCCTAAATCCCCATACTACCTCCTGCTAGCTTTAACCACAGTTCAGGCTGCAAGATTGAGAGGCTCCTTATAGTGCCTAGCAATGTGTCCCCTCCTATGTGGGCCTTTTCTCTTTCCAGACTACCCCCCTTTCAGCTCTGAAAAATACTTTGCCTCTACCACTGAAGTCAGGGGTCACAACCTTTCAATTACTTCCTTTCGCTGCTTCTCATTTTCTGAAATTTTCATCTTCACTACTGTCACTGGTGACAGCAGCAGAAAATGGCTCTCATTCAGTTGCTTCCAGTCACAGTACTCAATTCCCTACAATGTTCTAAGTGGGAAAAGGAAATGATTTGGCTGGAAGGTGCCACATCAAAGAGGTCTGCTACTGCTGCCTCCTATAACAACCAGTACTGGAAGCCAGTGTAGTGTAGTGGTTAAGAGTGGTGGACTCATAGACTTCCGGGTTGGCGCGATCCGGGAATGGCGGATTCCCTCCGAGCTCCGGAGGGAATCGGCTCAGCGGTGGATGGGTCTTTGCCGTGCCGGCGACACGGGGACCCTTAAAAACCGCAGGTGCAGATGCCTGCGGACTGAAGACTCGGCGGGTGCCTTAAGCGCCCCCCCTGATTCGCGAAGAGCCTTTTTAAAGGCTACGGAGGGGATACGGGGGACGGCGCGGCACTGAGAGTCGATCGCTACCGCCGCTGAGCGAAGCCGCGAGCCATAACCGGAGAGCGCTGACTTCCTTCCTTGAAATTTGGACTGAAAAAAGAACCCGTGAGTAATTTGGAACTGAGCTTTAAAAACTTTTACCTTTTGAATTTGAGACGACCGGGGGGTGTGCCAAAAGGAAGTCCCCATCCCCCCCCCTTGCAGACGATCCAGAGCAACGATATAAGAGCTAAGCTGGAGTGCCCACCCTGTAAAGGGTGAGTCTTAAAAAAAAAGACAGTAACTTCCAAGATTTGGAAAAGCAAATTTAAGCAGGAGAGTGGAGTGTTGGAAGAGTTTTTGTTTTGTGGTAAACAACCCTCCCTCCCGAGCCCGGGAGCAATCTGCTTTGGAGCCTGTATAGAGGAGCAGAATTTGACAGCTGTCAAAGCTGTCAAATGGACTGTTAATACTGAAAAAATTGCTACTTAAGACTTCTCCGGATAAAAAGGAGCTACAATTGATCTAAAATTTTGGGAAACAAAGAAACAATAATAGGACAGAGGATTGTTGGAGAAAAGACCATCCAGTAACCAGATTCCCTCTAGGGGAATTCTGTGGAATTACAATGGCTGTGGGTGGAAAGATACTGAGAGAAATCGAAAGGATGTTTTCACTGGTGGGAACTTTACAGGAGCAGACTACAGCTATGAGTAAACAATTGACGGCCTTGGATTTGGAAACAAGTAGTTCTGCTGAATGTAATGAGGACTTGAATGAGAAAGAACCCACAGCTGAATTTGAAATAATAAACAAAGAAGAGGAGAAGACAAAACAAGAAAGAGAACAAGTGATGTGGGAAAATACTAACCAGAAGCTGATATTTGGAGAATACAAACAAGGAGACCATTGGATGGAATCTATTCCAAGCCTACGAAAGATACAGAAGATGAAAGTGGAGGCCCTGGGAGTTTATGGAACTCAGGAACTCGAAATAAAGAAGTACAATTGGGGCCTCCACATAGACTTTGACTTTGATCATCACCAAGACTCAGGCCTTGTGGAAATTCTTCAGCAGTTGCGTATAAATATGGGAAGAGACTATGGACTGATTGGACTGAATGTTAATGAAATCTTTCGAGACTCGATGACTGACAAAGAGGACTACCAACAAAACCGGCGGAGAGGGACTGAAATAGATTTGAGAGCCTCGGATGTGCGGAATCCAGGCTAAAAACTGTTATTTTGGACATGTCTTGTGAAAGGACGCAAAGCGGGGATGGGAGGGAGGGAAGCACAGGCTTAAACAACACTCAAGACCAGGGGTTTAGTAATAAGGAAATTACTCAAGAAAAAATGAGAAATCGAGGGAAGAGAATTGGGGTCCAACTTAGGGAAAACTTATCTTTTGTTTTTATAAAAGGACTAATATTAAGAAGGAAGAAATGCTAACTTGCTGACATAAACTTGGGAACAGGGATGCAAGGGAGGGGGTGGGGGGAAGTCAAGGACTAGGGTTAGAAAATAAGATTTTTTGGAACTATTCATGTGTGCTGTTGTTTTTTTTTTTTTTTTATGTTTGTTTTCGTGTTATGTGGTTTGTTTTTGTCTATATAAAATGTGAAAACCCAATAAAATTATTTTAAAAAAAAAAAAAAAAAAAAAAAAGAGTGGTGGACTCATAATCTGGTGAACTGGGTTCGATTCCCTGCTCCTCCACATGCAGCTGCTGGGTGACCTTGGGCTACTCACACTTCTCTGAAGTCTCTCAGCCTCACTCACCTCACAGAGTGTTTGTTGTGGGGGAGGAAGGGAAAGGAGATTGTTAGCTGCTTTGAGACTTCTTAAGGGGAATGAAAGGCAGGATATCGAGTCCAAACTTCTCCTCCTCCTCCTCCTTCTTCAAAGTCTAAAAGAGGGACACAAGACTGGTGTCAGTGGCCAGCCCACCTGAGCTGCTGAAGCTTTGTCATTTACCATCAGCATTGGTTTTGACCAGATGTTTATAAACCAGGTAGTTCCTGAGCAATAATGGACCCTGGTTAGCATTCACCATGGTTAAAACTGGGGCAAGCATATGCTTGAACCATAGTTAAAACCAGCAAGGGTTTTGCATTGAAGAAGGGAACAAATGTGTGTGATTCTAATGCTTTCACTGCAGTGAAGGAATCTGAAGCATTGTGCTTGCATCAGCCCTTAGAAGTGTACAGAATTCATTGTCAAATTTTCAGGAAGTAGCCGTAAAACATTTACAATTCTCTCACTCTTTTTTTAAAAAATGTTTGGCACTGTGTTGTAGAATCTCTAGTAGGAGATTTAAAAGTAAAAGGATGAAACTGAAGATGTTAAAATATTGCAAACACAAGGCCATAATTAGAGGGCTCTTGGAGATTTCTGTCTCTGAAAGAGATGATCTGTCATAACATGGCAAGCCAAAAGTTTCTTGTTCTTTTTGATACTTTTTATTACATTTTCCAAACGTAAAACAACACAAACTACACAGCCTCACACCAAGAAATAAGCATAACAACCATTTCACGGCACTGCAAAACAGTTACAAGCAACTGTATGAAGAGATTAAACTAAACAAAGGATATCTGTCCAAAACTAAAATTGGGAGGGAGAAGGATAGATCCTTTTATCATTAATGTTGACATAGCTAGTAAATTGAAACAGGGTGTCTTGAAACCTCTCTTATTTATGTCCTTATTAACTCAACAGGAGAAATATTGGGGAACTTGTTCAAGCATCTCATCAGAAGGATCATAAAGAAGAATCCTTTGCATTACCTTTACCCCACTTGGTTACAGAGCTTGGTCTCACATTGAACTTCAGTGCAGCTGCACCAATGAATAGCATGGTGAGGCCATTTTTAGATTTATTAAACTGTTTGTCATAATTTCTCACTTGTCTTAGTTCCATTTTTGGTTTTGAAAACAGAAAATTGTAAGTATTTATACTCATTGTCTTATACAGTCGTACCTTGGTTGACGAACGCCTTGCAACTCAAACGTTTTGGCTCCTGAACGCTGCAAACCCAGAAGTGAGTGTTCTGGTTTGCGAATGTTCTTTGGAACCTGAACGTCCGACGTAGCTTACGTGGCTTCCAATTGGCTACAGGAGCTTTCTGCAGCCAATTGGAAGCCATGCCTTGGCAGGGGCGAAGGAAGGCGGCGTGACACCCGGGGCAGGCGTCACTACGTAGGGCGTACATGCGGCATCGCTATGTACAACGCATGCACCGTACATAGCGACGCCGTACATTTGCTGTATAGTGGTTTGCCGCCAGTGCCACTCCAGCGCCGTACGGACGGTGCCAGGATCCTCTGCTTGCGGCTGTAGTGGTGACGGAGGGATCCTGGCACCGTCCACAAGGCGCTGGAGCAGCGCCGACGGCAAGCCACTATACAGCACATGTGCAGCGTAGCTACATACAGCGCATGCATGTGACGCCACACATGCGCTGTACTTAGCGGTTTGCCGTTGGCGCCGGGATCCTCTGCTCGTGGCTGCAGCCATGAACAGAGGATCTTCCATATGCAGCTGTGTTGGCGCGATGGCTGCTTGCGCCCCTGTGAACCCCCGTGGGGTTACTTATTGTCACCTCCACAGACATGGAACCTGGAGTGCACCGCCCCTCTGTTGCGACGCCACTGTGCCTTGGTTTCCGAACATTTTGGAAGTTGAACAGACTTCTGGAACAGTTTCTGTTCAACTTCCGAGGTACGACTGTACTTAATGTCATTATCAAGCCTGTTGGGGTCTTATGTATTAACTGAAAAAGCAGGCTAAAACCAGCAGTCACCAGGTTCTTTTAAACTTGATGGGTCTATTAAAACCTGATAGCTGTGGATATGTGAAATTTCACACAGACTGTGTTCAGGTAAAGTGTGATGTCTTGTGATGGGAACAAGCCTGTCCAAGCCTCATGCTTTCATGCTTTCCCCTCTCAGGCACAGTGGTAGCAACAGCAGAAGAGGGGGGAAGTAGCTGTGATCTTCTCTCTGGAAACCTGTGTGTTTGCTCATTCTTGTTAAGCCATGCTTTGGCTTAGCATCACATTCAAACTACGCCATATTGTCATTTTACTCATCGTATAATGCATTCAATACTTTTTAAAGAATTTTTTTAAACCTTAAATCTACCTCATTCTTTTTCAAGACCCTCTCTTATTTTGAAAACAAAAATAAAAGGACAGACATAATTGTTTCCAGCTCCGATTTCGCGATTTCTATCAACATGAATAAGATGTGTCAATATTTCTGTACATTTGTAAATATTTCAGAAAACACTCCAGATTTTTAAAAAATGTTTTATACCAAAAATAGCAGAATTTGGGAGTAGGGAAGAGGCTTGAATTCTAAAACATGAAGTATTAATATTGTTGTTTCCCCCCAATTATTTAGGTAAAATACTTTACACTAAGAAACCCTTCATCTTTCCCAGTTATGTTGCAACTCCTGCCTCTTTCTTTTTATCCTGATCCTCGCGCTCCATTGACTCTACTCAGCAAATGGTAATGAGAAATAGTTTCTTGTGGTAATTTAAGAAATAGTATAATCTGAAAATAGTTCCTTTCCCTCCATGTATTTGGGTGGGTGGGGAATGAGCTTGCATCTACCAGTCATGTTCTGTGCATGCAAAGGGTCTTCATGGTACTGGCACAAAGTTTCTAATGCCATGGAAGATCCCACTTGTGTTTAGGCTTATTTCACAATAAAGTGGTACCTTGGTTCTTGAACAAAACCCGCTCCAGAAGCCTGTTGGGCTTCTGAAATGCTCGAAAACGGAGCCGCGGCTTCCCTTTGGTTGCGAGAGCTTCTTGCACTCAGCAGAAGCCGTGTCGCATGTTCAGGTTCTGAAAAACATTTGAAAATGGAAACATTTACTTCTGGGTTTTCAGCATTCGAGAACCGAAATGTATGGCAACGGAGGAGTTTGGGAACCAAGGTTTCACTGTACCAGCCACTAACATGTGGCGATTGAGGGTGAGAACCATAGACTTGCAGCGTTGGAAGGGACCATCTCATTCAGCCCCCTGCAATGAAAGAATCTTTTGCCCAACATGGGGCTGATCCTGAGATTAAGACACTCAAGCCAACTGAGATATCCCAAATTAATAGAAGGGCCATGAGGAGTTGTCTTACTTTTTCCTCCATTCATAACGGAGAACTATCTGAAAATGGCTTTTTATGGTTCTTTACTTTCTATATATTTTTTTAAGGTTTATACATGTATATTCTTTTCTTGGTTTATATAGGTTTGGTGCAAATGTACAGTCTATTAACTTCACAACCACTGAATTTAGATTGACAGAAGATTATGCTCACAGGGTAAGCAGTGTCTCATATATGTTTTTCACTCTCAGAAATGGAACTTAAGGTGCTCTTTGCATTAAATTGGAAAGAAACAGCCACCACACAGCTGAGAGTCTGTGGTTTATGCAGAAACATGTTTGAGCATGAAAGGAGTTGGCCGTTTTTTTAATAACCTGTAACCTGCATTTAATTTTTGGATTGCTTAGGTCAGGAATTCCCAATCTGGTGGAACGCTCTGTCACAAGAGACTAGGGCCCTGCGGGATTTGACATCTTTCTGCAGGACCTGCAAGACAGAGCTGCTCCACCAGGCCTTTGGCCAGGGCACAGCCTGACTCCCTCCTTTGGCTATCCTCACAGAACTCTAACCCAATTGGTTGCCATTAATCTGATTTGAATTAATTTTATAATGAAATGATTTTAGAATGTTGTATCATTTTATTGTTGTTAGCCTCTCTGAGCCTGGCTTCGGCTGGGGAGGGGCGGGATATAAATAAAATTTTATTATTTATTATTATTATTATAACTGTGGTCCGTGGACCAACAGTGGTCTGCGAGCTTCATACAGGTAGTCTGCAGCATCTATGCATTGAATAGCCATATTGATTGTCATTGTATTTTTATTGCTTCTATTGTTTCTTATATTGTATATTACAGTTTGAATACTAGGGAATTCAAGTTGCAATACAAAACATACAAGACATAAGAGATGCAACGAAATACAATTAAAAAACATGCAGCGTCTAACTCAGTGGATTCCTTTTGCTGTAACAGGCAGGAAAAAGTATTAAGTAGTCCACCAAGGCTATCAGAATTTTCAAGTGATTGGAGGGGGAAGGTTTGGAAACATTGGTTTAGCTATTAAATGGAAAACAATTTTTGAAACTTTTGAAGTTATAACATTTATTTAATATATTGCTGATTTTAAAAAAATCTTCAAAACACATCTAACATTTAAAACTTACACTTTGCATTCCTCAATGGAAACATCAGATAACAAGAGTGCTTGCAATTCCAGAAAGGGTTCAGGAACTCCGTTAAATGGGGCTTTATTATTCCTACCCGCAGCACTGAAAACCTCAGTAGACACGGATGGGTGCCACCTGTATTTTCTGTATTCCCACCCCTCACACACACTGCTGTAAACATTTTCTCCCCTTTGTTAATGGCAGTGTCCTGGTATGCTCATCCTTCCCTTTCCCCTCTAGATGGGGCAAATAAAATACCATATTTTTCACTCTATAGGATGCACCGGACCATAAGACGCACCTAGTTTTAGAGGGGGAGAACAAGGAAAAAAAATCTCCTCCTCTCTGTGCAGCGCCCCTTCAGCGAAGCTGCAGGATAAGCGGAGCCCCTTCCATTTCTCCTCCCGCTTCGCTGAAGGGGCGCTGCGCAGAGAGGGAAAGCTGCACAGCGCCTCTCCAGCGAAGCAAAGCCAGGAGAGCAAGAGGGATCAGTGCGCACCGATCCCTCTTGCTCTCCTGGCTTCAGCAAAAGCAACGCAAAGCCTCCGGGGCACAGCGGAGGCTTATAGAGCCTCCATTCGCTCCACAAGATGCACACACAGTTCCCCTTAATTTTTGGAGGGGGAAAAGTGCATCTTACAGAGCGAAAAATGCGGTACTCTGTCACCTCATTAGTGGAATGGGACAGGCATAAGTATGCAGGGCAAGTGGAACTGTAGTCTTTCCCTCTCTGCTTCTCATCTTCCTGATTTCCCTCAGGAGCATGGATGTTTTAATAATGGTTCGCTCATGTTGTTTTGTAGGACGAACTACAGGAAGACCACGATTACATTGGATCTAGTTCGGAGCTGCTTTATTTAAAATTGCAGCCTTTAGAAACTAAGAGAGTTGGTGTTGTCTTCACCCCTATTGATTACAGAAGGGTAAACTCCCTTATACTGGTCAGGTAGGTCTCTTCTCGAGATTCTGTGGGGCGAATGAGGCACTGTTTTAGAAAGCTTTGTTTCATATTTCCATCAGTGAGTGTAGGCCCCAGGGCTACATCCAAATTTGATCTTTGGTACTTTCCCACTAAAGCTTGGATTTACTGTATATGCGAATTATAGAAATATTTCGCATCCACGGGAATTGTATTTGGTCTTGGCAAAGCACAGCAGTGAATTTTTCCAAAAGATGCCCACATCTTGCAAGATGGTGGGAAGACTGCTTTTCTTTTTTCCCTTTAAATTTTTATTTATTTATTTATAAAGGCGTCCTTGCTTTATTGCAGGAATAATTTGACTGTTCTGGATGTGGTTTATGTCGAAGGCATTGGAGCCAGAGAGCTGTTGAAAGTAGGGGGAAGGTTGCCAGGGGCAGGAGGATCCCTTCGATTTAAGGTGCCAGAATCAACCCTTATGGACTGCAGGAGACGTGAGTGACAATCTGAGAAGGAAAGGTCTAAGTGAGATTAGTTTAACCAAACAGATGTGCATGGTTTGGAGGATAAAGTGGCCAGTCTCATGGGCACAGCTATGTGTGAATATCATAAACGTCTGTTTTCACATGCATAACCATGGTTGTTGCTGTGCATACTTAAGGTAATACACATGTGCAATCCTCACATAGATGGTGTGCCCTGATTTAGGAAGAGTTGCATGTGAAGTATTACATGTCACCTTTCCAATTCCCATCTCCCTTTCATAATACTTGAATATATTGTAACATAGTTGTAGGAAAGTACAGTTTCTGCCACTTAGAAGTGCCCTCAAGATGGCTTTTAATGATTACCTTGAAGTAACTTGCGTTTTGTTTTCTTTAGAACTGAAAGATGGCAAGCAAATTTTATCCATCACAAAGAACTTTAAGGTTGAAAACGTTGGTCATCTTCCTATCACTATAACGTCTATGAAGATTAATGGGTACAGCTGCCAGGGTTATGGATTTGAAGTACTCAATTGCCAAGATTTTTTTCTGGCACAGAACTCTTCGCGGGAGATTAGCATTGTGTAAGCATTTGTCGCTTTCCATTGACAAACTGGCTTACTTTAGAATTGAGTTTAAAAGGAACCACACTATTACACTTATATCCTACCTCAAAGGAGCTCAAGGTGTCATACAAAGTTCATATAAATAAATAAAAATTCCAAGAAGAGGCTATCCTTGTTTCTGACTGTTTGGAAGCACTCTATTGTGTCATTCTTTAAAGTGCTATCTTTGCCTTAAGGGTTGCAGAGCTTACAGACTGTTGTGTGTGTTGAGCATTTTGTTTTCAAGTTAGGGTCATGCTGCACAACATTGTAACTTTGAGAGGGCAATTTCAGAGCTGAAGGAAAAATAACCTATCCTACTGTGGAACATGTTATGGGCCAGGGCAGAGCAGCACAATTAAAGGCTGTAGTGGGAACATCTTTCATTGATTTAATATCAAGAAGTCCATCTCCATTATAATGAACATTATTCAACATGAATCATAATTAATTTTTCTTAATTAACTCAAAGGGGAGAAGATCCATTTGTACCTTAAATTTTGTGGGTCCAGCCTTTACTTGAAGTCTTTCTTAATGGGATGCTCTTGCTGGTACTGGTGGGGTGGTTTTGCCAATCTGCCTTTTCCCCCTGTATCTCCTGAGCCTCCCAAAACAGAGGTTGAGAGTTCTTCAGGAACAGCATGTGAATTGGGCCTTCCTCCATTAAATGACTGTCTGCCCCAGTGTATTTACAAACAAAGCCAAACTAGCTGACTGACTTTTAGGTAAGGTATATGATTGGGTACTAGACAGCTGATGCGTTACTTCACTTTTCATCTTACTTAGTTGGAATCAATGATCTAGCAATATTCAGGATTTCTAACTTGGTCTCCATACAGTGCCATAAAGGTGGTGATTGTAAGCCCTTATACGAGATGGAAATACTTTCATCAGATACTGTTATAACATCTTTTACTCAAGATTTAATTATGAGTTGCTTCACTGAACAAGATTTCTCTACAGAAAAGTTACACCTCTGGATGTTTGCGATACAAGTCACAGGGAGCCTAGCATGGACAGAAGAGGAAAGAATACAGAGCTAGGATGGGCAAACTCTGACCTGTGGACCAAACTTGACCCACTAAGCCTTTGCATTTGGCCTGTGAGGCCATTTCCCCCAAACCACACCACCTGCCCCACATCTGGTGTCCCATGTGACATCAGTTGTGGGGCAGGTAGAGATGTGATTGCAGAAAGCAGGATTGAACTTGCTGTACATCTACTGATACAAGGGGTGTTTGATCCTGCTTGGTTTGGGTATACCAGCAAGTTCCTGCTAGAAACTTGCTGATGTGCCTGAACCACTTTGAAAGCAGAACTGAATGGTGTGTGGCGAATTCAATATTGCTCAAGCAGGATCTTCCCCCGCACCCACATGGGTCAACTTTTGACAGGCGTAATGCCATTTTCCCATCAGGTGGGTGGTCAAAAAAGTTCCCCACGCCGACTGAAGCCAAGTGCTTTGGGCCATAAATCTTGCTGAGAGGAAGGGTGATGGTGCTGACCACAGTGGTTGATTGAAAGCACACAGAGGAACATGCAGTGCAGTTATGTGTCCTGCTGAAGGCACCTCTTGCTCAAGGAGTTTCAATAACATCTAGGACTTCTACTTGAATTCTTTTCAGACAGATGGGAATAAAGGTTATTGTATGTAATGGGTATGTGCAGGCTTCAGCCATGTGTATTAGGTGCTGTGTTAAAGGATTCTCCTCATTGTGATCAAAGAGGTTACAAGTGAATCACAAAGAGTGGTAGGAGGAAGCAGGGGGTTTGATGTTGAACAAAAATACAGGACTTTCATGGGGCCTGATTCCCGTCAAAATGTCACTGGCTTTTTAATTTTTTGGTGTGCAGGTTTACTCCAGATTTTACTTCTTCATGGGTTATCCGTGAGCTGACTCTGGTGACTGCTGGTGGTGTCGAGTTCCACTTCACTCTCAATGTGACTCTTCCTCACCATCTTTTACCACTGTGTGCAGATGTGGTACCAGGGCCCAGCTGGGAAGAGTCCTTCTGGAGGCTTACAGTGCTCTTTGTCAGGTAAAGCATTTATTTATACATATTAACAAATTTATAGACTGCTTCATGGCATAAAGCCTGGAAATTTTCAGTCTCAGACACCTAAACCTTAGATTTTAAAGCAGCAGCAAGATGATATCAAGAAAAGGCAACTTGGCCACCTCCTCACTGTCTTACTAGATCTGGTTTTTCCTTGAGCAGGAAGCACATTTCCCCCCTAAATGCAAGCCCCTCTAATATAGAGATGAAGCACCTAGGTCTGTCCAAGAGGTTACTGGACTACAACTCCCAGCATTCCTTGCTGTTTGTTGTGGGTGGGGCTGGTGGGAGTTGGAGTGCTACAGCTTCTAGGGAACAAGTTGGATACCTTTTTATATGCCTTGAAAACATACCCAGAAAGTATGATGTAGCAGGCAGAAAGTCATAGACAGGAGAGGCTATTAAACGGAAGATGGGAGTTGCAGTGGCTAATTCCAGACAGGTTGGGATTAAGAAGTATTATACCTGAAGAAGGGATGCTCCAGGCAATACAGTGCTGTTGGGAAGAAGGAATTCCTCCCTTTAGCTGGAGATATAACATGCTCGGTAAACTAGCTGAAGACTACCAGGTTCCATGCAGAGGGAAATGTTTCCAGTCAGTCTCAATGATCCCACCTTTATGAATGCTGGCTGTAATAACTTCAACACTGAACACAATTAACCCATTCAATTTGATGTTAGTTCCAACCTCCTGAATGTAAATCTTACTTTATTTCTACACACACGTTTTGCTGAAAACATTTATCTTTCCCTGTCTTGCAGTTTGTCTCTTCTGGGTGTGATTTTGATAGCTTTCCAGCAAGCGCAGTACATCCTATCGGAATTCTTGAAGTCAAGACAAAGGCAGAATCCCAGTCCTTCTGCACTGCCAAACAACAGTTCTGTGGACATCATCAGCTCTGAAACGTACAAGTAATAAATATTAACTTTCTGTTAGGTGCCTTGATGTGAAAATCTCTTTTAAAGTGATGATGGTGTTGCTGTTTGATTCTGAGAATAGATAGGTGGTGGTTGGAAATGCTAGTTCCTCAAGAAAGGAACAGTTTCTTGACAATTGATGTTGATGTTCAGATGCTGATAAAAAACGGCTCATTACACACCACAGAAGTTGTGTCCTCAGTGTGGGAAGGGAGAAATATGTAACCTGCCTTCAGTATATGATGGAGATGGTGAGGGGCAGGAAACATGGGACAGTCGTGCTTCTTGATACTAATCTGAAGCTAATTTTCTGTGCAATGGCTAAAATAATGAAATACACTTTTCGCAAAACAGGATAAAAATGGTATCAAGATGGCTTCCAGGAAAAAATAGTGCTCAGTATTATGCCTTATTTTCCAGTCTCCCCCTGGTCTTGATAAAATGATTTATGAACAATATGATCTTTGTGCGATAAATAAATGTAATCACTTTATTTCTGATCTAGGAGCAGTTGCAAAACCTTTACGGATACTTACGGTTCTTCTGATAAAGGGAAAGGAAAAGGCTCCCTTTCTGTGGGCACAGCAACTAGCCGGAGTCAGAATGCTGCCAAAAGGAGTCCAGCAACATACAGTCATTCTCAGAAGAAGCACAAGTGCTCTGTATACTATGGTAAACCAAAATCGAGCACAGCAACCAGCACCACTATTCTAACAACTGATGACAAACAGAACCCAGCGGTCGAAAATCAAACTCCAGCAGCAAAGGAGGACATTTGCACTGTTAGTGAGACTTGGCTGAGCCTGAAATATGCCAGTAGCATAAATGTAAACATGCAAAAGAACTTGACGCACCCAGGGAACTTTCTAGATAAAGAAGAGAGTGCATTGAAAAATGCAACGCCTATAAAAAATACTTCTTCAGAGTGCAATTTGAAGGAGGGTCTTCGAACAAGTATGTTTCCTAAGGAAACGAACCTTAAGACTTCAGAAAATGTAGCTGAGCTCAAAGAACCTGAGCTGTGTCCTTTGAAGTCATCAAAGAAGCTGTCTGAAAGTCGCTTCCCAAGACATTCACCTCAGCAACAACCGGAATTTCAAGAAGTTTCCAGGAAAAACAATGGTAACATTTTTTAAAAAATACAGAAATAGATAGTTTTGAGTAGTCTGAACTGAACTAATACTGAACTAGAGGGGGACATTTTTGAAATGACATCGAAAGGAAAAAATACAGTAATTTCTTATCAAACTTACAGACTTCATTACTTTTAAGCACATGTACTGTAGTCAGTTTAAATGCTTGTAGAAGTTTAAATTATTTAGTTTTATCTAAATTCTAATTAAGACCCAGTGTTGCAAACTGAAGTACATTGCAGATTTTGCCAGTTGGGGAGAAATGGTGAAGAAAATAAAAACCACCAACATCCATAGCAAAGAAAAAGGGAAAATTCTTTTTGAGCAGTATGTGGATTACCAATATTACACAAAAGCAAACATACACAGCCCACCTGTAGCCCTCTTCAGTCATTCTTCTTACTCACACAATTGCCACTTTGTGAAGGAATAGGGTACTGCCAAGGTCCATTCCCTCCAGCACATCTGCAGAGGGCTGAAAACAAGGAGGGAAATAACATACTGTTCTTTGTGCAGTTGTTATTTTGTGAGTAAGCACTTACCCGACAGAGGTGAATTTCACTTGAAATATTCTTACAAGGTGAGGTAAATACTGTATCGTTTTTGTTTTTATTTTGAAGGGAATAGCCAGCAGGTGTCTCTCAGGAATGAAATAGAAAGCTGTGACTCTTTGAAAAAGCAGGTGAACACAAAGCCCTCAGCAGAGAAGGCGATAAATAAAGGGCCTAAAGATGAACTGCAGTGCTGTGGAAAACGGGAAGTTTCTTCTGCTGAGGTTTGAATTGTTACATGCTGCTTTAAACATTTTGGAACTGGGATTTTAAATGCAATTGCAGATAAACACCTAAAAATAAAAATTTCTGGGATTTCTGGGACATAAGCAGTGCTTTTTTTCTTAAAAAATGTTTAGGGGTACTCTCATTTTCCTACTCATTGAAATACTGCCCCTCAATGAGGCCAAACTTAGATTCACAAAATGTTCAGGGGTATGTGTACCCCTGCATACCCCCAGCAAAAAAGCCCTAGACATAAGATCCCGTGAGTGTCATTGATAGTGGCCAGATTTCTATTGCTGGCGGTGAGAATAAGGAGCCAATTAATTATGTGAAGCTTGAAGGATTATTTCCAGGCATTTATTTACCCGAGGTTACTCTTTGGCTTTGTATATATCTGACTTGCTGTTGCTACGCTGTTACACTTTTTCTTGTATTTTGGCATACTGTATGTTTCGATTTCTGGTTGTTGACTGTAATGAACTGATGATGAAATCAGAATATGTTCATAGTGGGGAAGTATACCCAAGTATTTCCGTATGTAGAAATTGAAGGAAGTTTCTATGCAAGCTTGTTGTCTCATGGGTTTCTAGCTAATTCAGTGACCTTTGTGATCACTTTGCAAGTAAAAATGTGATGAAAGAATGGCATAGCCATTTTTACATAGCATAGGTTATATATTGGGTTGTGTCCAACAAAGACATCATATTAGCTTAAGGACTTCCACCTGGGCAATGGGACTGTCACTTCCTAAACACCTCGTGCCATGTTCAACCCAGAAGAGATTGTGGGGGGCATGGAGAAAGGAAAGGGAGACAAAGTGCCATTGTATAGGCAGCTAATGGGACAACATAATTGGATATAATCTGGCATTTCTTCAGCCTCAAAAATAGTGGTGTAAACTTAGCCTGCCTTCATTCATATCGTACTATAAATAGAGAATTCCAAGACCTGTTTTAGAAATCTAGAGGCTGAGTACATGCTAACTTTTGCTACAGTATATCCTGTGAGAGGCCCTTTATACCCATTGATTTGAACAGTATAGATTTGTAGTGCATATGTGTTCTTGAAGAAACAATCTTACGGTTGAAATTTGCATTCCCTGTTCCCATTGCTTTGGAATAGTTGTAGCTGTGTAATCTAAGCTTGAAATAACTTTTCAGGCAAGTTTGTCCCTTAATAAAATATCAATTCACGTAATCAGAACAGATGAGGTAAAAAAAAAAGTGAAGAAAGGAAGAATTTATGGAGGGTAAGTTTAAAACTGAGCTAGTCATAAATCTGACAGGTGGTTCTGGTTTTAATCGAGGCAAAATTGTGTAGGCCATTGTTTCAGCCCTTTATGACTGTGGTATTTAGCTGAGGAAAGAATCAAGGAATGTGGAGGAGAATAAAATTGCATGCTAACACATTTCACAAGACTATAGTTTTTTTAACGTTAATATTAATGGCAATTTTGCATGATAATTATTTTCTGCTTAAAATGCTGTGCGCCTGTAGTCTGCCAGATTTGAAGCCATTGATACAAACTCATAATCTTAAGTAAAATGTCTTAATAAGTCCTTTTTTTTTACCTTTCAGCAAGAAGATACTCACCGAAAAAATGGGTCTCCAGAGAAAAGAGAAGGGCATGTACCAAATACAAACTGGAACAGAAATAGGACAAACAGAAAGAATAAGAAGAAGCATGCTAATTTATCTGTACGGTATGTATGGCTGCTTCTTTATGTTCAGATTTTTAAATTTAGGAATGCAAGCAGTATTTCCACCACTTTTTCTTGTTGTTTTCTTGTTAATTTTTGTTGACAAAACAATTTTTTTTTGGTTAATTTTTACTTTTGTTAATTTTTACTTTTTCCTTGCTATTCTTAATTTTCATCCTACCCTTCTTCCCCGCGCTCTCCTGGAGCTGCCTCTTTTCTTTCCTTTTTTCCCTTTCTCCAAGGCTTTTCGCTTTCTCTCCTAAATTGATTCCTCCTCCACACCGCGGCGTTTCCTGGCTGCTCCCCCCCTCCCCCCTCTCTCCTCCTCGCTCTGCTTGCCTTTCCCTGCCCTGCCTGAGGGCGCCCTGAGGAGACTCCGCTCTCCTTTTTGACCAGGCGAGGTGGAAAAAAGGGGGAAAAGTCTCTTCCCGCCCCCTCGCCAGACTCCCTGCTCGGCTCGGCTCACTACCCAGGCGGCCAGTGGAGAGAGTCTTGAGCCGCTTAATTCCCAGCAAGGAATTAGCAGGCTCGCTCCACCTCCTCCTCCTCCCGACTTTGCTGCTGCTGCTGCTGCGCGGCTTTTTTCCTCTACCGACGGCACGCTGTGCCTTGGAGAGGTTCCCGCTTCCTCGAGGGGGGCCGGCCAAACGCGCCCCCCAAAATGTTGCGCCCGGTGCGGCCGGCACCCCTGGCACCCCCCACGCTACGCCACTGCTGCCAAAGAATCAAGAATGGCATTAGAGCCATTGAACAAGCCTCTAGGCCAGCCTTCCCTAACCTGGTGTTCCTCAGGTGTTTCAGACTACAATGTTCATCATCCCTAACCATTGGCTACAACTGACTGAGGCTGATTGGAGTTGTCACCAAAAACATCTGGGTGGCACCAAGTTGCAAAAGGCTGCTCTAAACTGTATGTGAGACCCCATGTCAGGACTGTTCTGTTTTAGTAGCATGCAAACAGATTGTTCACATAGGTAACTAATTAATAGATGTACCACATGTAAGATAACTACCCCTTTGTTGTTGTTGCTTGTAGGGTTCCTGAACAGACTGAGTTGAAGCATGTGTGTAGTGGTTTTGAAAGACCTGAACTTAGAACTAATGTTAATATAAGAAACTGGTGTGGTCAGAGCAATGGAGAAACATGTAAAGGAGAAGAGAGAGGTGGCTTACCCACACAGAGAGAAGCAGGTATGTAATCAAAAGTGACTCAGAACCAAATGCTATGCATAACTAGTATTAGTAGTTTGCTTTTGATTCCGCTCCTATTTTTCTATTGCACTTTGTCTTTAAGATAGAGCAGTGCTACGGCGTGATGAATCTTCTGGTTCTTTATCCCCTTTTGTGTATGAGCATTCTCAGCCAAGGAGAAAGAATTGGGGAGTTCAAGCCAGCGATAAATACACTTGACAAGACCTTCAGTTCCTAACATGGGCGGGGTGTGTGTGTGTGTGGTGGAGCTTATAGAGAAAGATGCCTGAATGCAAGTTCCAGCCTCATTGTTGAGTAGGAAGGTTTGGGTTCCTAAGGACATTTGGGTGAATGTGCTTAGAAGCCTCTTCATTATTGGGAATGTGGATAAGGCAGGAACACAGGAAGGTCTCGGCATAGGAAGGTCTGAAGTTGAGCCACCACAAATGGGGAAAAGTATTCCTCTTGACATCATGTAGTATCAGTATGTATCTGTGAAGGCTTCTGAAGCTCAGGCATAGAAAACATTTATAAATGGGTCCCATCATATTCTATCCACTTACCCACTTGGGATATATGCTAAACCAGTTCAGTATTTTTCCTAGTTAACAAAATATAGAATGGATAAGAATGTTCAGTGTCTGGTCAATTGCATATATTTGCCAGCTAGGTGGAATAAGTTGGCGAGTCATAAACTTCTGTTTTGTTACGGATTTTCCAAATTGCCTAGAAGGTTTCTATCAGTGGCCGAAGAAGAAGTGCCTGGAAAGGTTTTGCTCGGATTCAAGCTCAGACTGCGGAAGTTCTTCAGGGAGTGTTCGTGCCAGTCGAGGCAGCTGGGGGAGCTGGAGCAGCACTAGCAGTTCCGATGGCGACAAGAAGCCAATTATTCCTAGCAGGCACTTCCTTCCTTCTAGTAAGTGCTGCAAGAGTGTGTGCATTCTGCATTTCTTGAGGCATCAGAGTCTGAAAATTGCAAAAGAAGAAGAAACTGCAATAACTCAGTTATTACAGAATTATTTTCAGTGGAGTGTCTTTTAAAGCCTTACCTGGGCAACATGAAATTCATTTAGAAAAAAATATTTATATGCTGCCATATCACAGAAATATATCAAAGCGGTATATTTAATTCTCCATCTCCCTTAAAACAACTGTAGAATTATTGAATATGGGATTAAGTGAATATAAATATATAGATTATATATTCAAATACACACAGCCAAAGAGAGAAAAGCCACATCACCTTACAAATTGCTTCTGCCGTGGTTTATGCTGTAGAAACCTAAAACTGCATTCAGCTTTGGCAGTTAGTATGGGGTTCGTAAGGCAAATATAGCAGACCAGCATAAATCTACAGCTTTTTTGCAGCCCTGTTTATTATCAACACAAATCTCTTCCTCCAATAATCTGCTTGGCATCAACGTTGTCCTCATTTTAGCGCCAGGCAAATACTATTTCTGCGCATTTGGGCCATGATGGGATATTTTTTACCATGCTTACATTTTTACTTACGTTTATGTATTTTTACTTTTTTGTTGTTGTTATATATCAGTTCAGGACTTTTTGTTGTGAAACTATACTAAAACTCTATACACCCCCACCCCCAAAAGAAAAAAGAAAATGCTTGATAAATATTTTGTTCATAGCTTCTGACCTGTTACAAGTTTGCACTTGATGCAGTCCTAGTATGTAGAAAACTGTATTGTATTATTTTACCAAAATGTCGTGTTCAGCTTTATTCTGTCATTTGCATAGGGGAAAGTATTTCATGCAGCGATTTTCCAGCTGAAACACCCATCTCTTTAAACCCATCTCACAAAATCTGCAACACCAGGTAAATACTTTAAAGAATCACATTCAAATGTGATTAGCAAATGAACTGGGGAGGGGGAATACTACTAAACTAAATTTGTAATGCTCAGTAGTGTTTTTGCATTATATCTTATTTTATGCAAAACAGATGTGCTGTAATATATCTTATTTCTAATAGCTGGTAATGCTTCAATTGCTGCCTTTATGTTGCTAATGGTATTAAATGACTAGCCCACCACTACCATACAAATGACACAGACCTCTATACATATATTTATTTTTGCATGAACCTGTTTAGTGTGTGTCTTTCTGTGTGTAGATAAATTGGGTTTGTTAATTGAAATGCATACAGATTTCCCACCTGCCCCATGCCTGCAGGAAATCTGTTTGACATACATAGCTTCCTTGTATTAGGACAAGGATAGTTGATTTTTCTAAATATAAAATAATTTGTTTGCACTTGTCTTCAGCAGAGATGTGAATGGTGTCCCTCAGTATCCAGAAAACCTATGCCCCAACTTCCCTGACATAAGTGTAGATCCAGACAAAAATAAAGGTTAGTTAATCCAAGTGAAACTAGATAATGGGACAACTTCATTGGGTACAAACCCTTGTTTACTGGATGGTATGTAAATATTGCATTGTACACAATATAAATAAAATCAAAACTAAGGCACAAAATGTTTTAAATACACAGAGGTGCACAAAAATGCTAAGTATTATTAGAATATTCCAATTTGTTGTGTTCCTTGGACCTGGAAACGTGATTATTAAAAATCGTAGTTAGTTTGAACTAAGCCAGTTTAGGTAATTATGCTTTCAAGTTGGCTTGTTCTGAAACTTAACCATAGTTAATGTGAAAACCACACTTGTATCAGACTGTACAACATGACAAGCCATACTTAATCAAAAGATTTTGATTCCTTCCTCCTGGCTATATGGGAGGAGGTAAAGGGAGAGGGGAAGAGAAAGTGCAAGGCTCACTATATTTCACTCTTCCTTGTGCAGATTGTGCAAATGCAGCTGGAAAAGGCAGAATTGAATTGCTTGGTGGTGCTAATGCTTGACGGTTTGTTAATTTAGAGGTCATGATTTCAATTTTACTTGTCCTCCCAGGTCTTTATCCAGCGGGGGACCTGTGGCCGCCTCAACCTGTGTGCCTGCCAAATAGCGTGAACTACAGCCTTGAGAACAACATCCCATGCATGATCCAGGAAAACCCTTCATTACACAATGGGCAAGTTTCTTTCCCTCACCCCTCCTGTTACACATTTTACTAAAACAATGGTATTATTTTGTAAACTGCCAATACATGGGTATTTTGTTTTTGTTCCTGAAATGCTAAGTTTTGCTTTGTCTTTTAGTAGCTTCATTGATTGGAATGCCTCCTGTGATGGTCAGTTTACCAGCGTGTACTGCCCAGTGGAAGTGAATGAATACAATGCTTTTCCAGAAGGTAAGTCTCCTACAATCCATTAGATCCATTTCAGTCCGGGTTCTGTCCTGGTTTTGGGACCGAGACGGCTCTGGTCACCCTAACAGATTATCTTCTGGACCACTGCTTCGCCGACGTGGGGATACAGGGCATAGCCCGTAAATGGCTGCGCTCTTTTATCTCTGGTTCGGGACAGAGGGTGGCGCTAGGGAGGGAGATGTCGTCACACCACTCCTTGGTGTGTGGAGTGCCTCAGGGCGCAACCCACTCCCTGATTCTTTTTAACATCTTTATGCACCCCCTTGCCCAGATTGTCCGGAGCTTTGGGCTGGGTTTGTCACGAATATGCTGATGACACTCAGCTCTATCTGCTGATGGATGGCCACACCGACTTGGCCCCGGACACACTGACCAGATGCTTGGAAACTGTGGCTGGATGGTTTCGTGGGAGCCGACTGAAACTAAATCCTTTGAAGACAGAGGTCCTCTGGCTGGGTCGGGATGGTATGGGGATGAGGGACCAACTCCCTTCTCTTGTGGGGGCCCAATTAGTGCCATTGCCTTCCGTTAAGAGTTTGGGTGTAATCCTTGACGCCTCCCTTTCCATGGAGGCGCAGGTTACAGCAACAGCCAAGGCGACATTTTTCCACCTTTGCTGCATCAAGCAGTTGGTCCCTTACCTTTCCCGCCCCGACCTGGCCACAGTGATCCATGCAACGGTCACCTCCAGGCTTGACTACCGTAATTCGCTCAACCCAGGGCTGCCCTTGAAGCTGTCCCAGAAACTTCAGTAGGTGCAGAATGCTGCAGTGAGGCTCCTCACGGGGTCTCTGCCATGGGAGCATATTCACCCAGTGCTTTACCAGCTGCACTGGCTCCCGGTAGAGTACAGGGTCAGATTTAAGGTGCTGGTTTTGACCTTTAAAGCCCTTCACGGCCTAGGACCCTCGTACCTACGGGACCACCTCTCCCGGTATGCCCCACAGAGGACCTTAAGGTCCAAAAATAGCAACACACTGGAGGTCCTGGGCCCTAAGGAAGTTAGATTAACCTCAGCCAGAGCCAGGGCCTTTTCAGCACTGGCTCCGGCCTGGTGGAACGCTGTGTCTCATGAGACCAGGGCCCTGCGGGATCTGATTTCTTTTCACAGGGCCTGTAAGACAGAGTTGTTCCACCTGGCCTTTGGCTTAGAATCAATTTGATTCTCTCCCCCTCGTTTCTATTTTCCTTTCTCCTCCTGTGAAAAGGCTGCATTTTAATGTTTTAATGTTGTATTTTAATCTTCTTTTTTAAGTTGTATTTTTATCAACTTGTTTTTATTATTGGTTGTTAGCTGCCCTGAGCCCGGTCTTGGCTGGGGAGGGCGGGGTATTATTATTATTATTATTAATAATAATAATAATAATTATAATTATTATTATTATTATTATTATTATTACTACTACTACTACTACTACAACAAAACCATGAGTGGTTTAGAAACAGGCACTTGTCCTTTCCCATCAGGTGCTCAGGTGAACAGCTCCCAGATATCAAATGACAGCTTGCCTATCTCATCTTAGCTCTTGTGAACACCTTGCAGTCTCCCCACTGCCCCATCTGACTCCCAGCTCATTGCACTGACTTGTGTAACTATAGTGCTGAAGTCCACCTTGGACATCTCTTGGGAGATGATGTTTGTGGTCCAGTAGGCCTATCTATATTCTTCCTCAGCACAGCCTGTATCTTCCTCTTCCCACACCCTACCTCTCAGTGATCTACAAATACACACACACACACACACACACAGCAGGCTAATAGGATCCAACTGCTGCAATAATTAAGAAAAATGTAGAACCACCCTACAGAATTAAGTTAATTGTTGGTTGACAAATCTGCCCTTTCTCCCAAACTATAGAAAATATGAACTATCATAATGGCTTCCCATGCACTGCGGAAGTTCAGAGTACAGCCTTCATTGATCACAGCTGCCAATCTACTTGGAGCACCCCACCCAATATCCCTCCAACTTGGGAGCCAAGCAATTATGTCAATTCAACAGTGAGTATAATGGGTGTTATATTACTATAGTATAGTAACATAGTAGCCATCTAGTTATATGTGACTGTCCCTTACATCCTCTTGTTGATCATTTCTTTTTAGTGAGTTCTTTAAAAAAGACTTATTTCAAGATTTAGCCCAGATGGTTTCAATTCTTTTTTTTCTACTCTGGATTTAATTATAATTTTGGTGCAATTGATATAAATTTTCTTTGTAGAAGTTATGCAATTCTGTTTGTACCGAAATACATTTTCTACAGGAAACATTTGAGAACATGTAGGAAAATGCGTGAAAACTTACTTTTTCCTGGGCGTAAGAATGGAAAACAGTTTAGATTTCAACAATGCAAGCCAACAGTTTAAATATTAATAGTATTCAACTTGCTAGGCACATCAGTATGGGATTCTTTTAAATATAAAAAACAGGGTGGGGGGGGACGGGACCTGGTGAAATGGCAGACGAAACAGAAGTGTAGTCATGCATGATTTTTTTTGGTGTGTTTTGGAATATGCTTTTGTTCCTGTTGTAGGCCGATCAGTTTAATGCTATTTTTTCCAGAGTTTATGCTGGGTCTGAATACTGAAGGAGGGCCAAAAAAGAGACACTGAATTGTTGCTCATTTATTTCCGGGGTGGCACAGAGCATTCTGTGCTTCAGGGTTTTTTTTGTTTAGGTAGTGCTTTCATTTAGAAGTTTTTTAAAACTCTTGATAAAGCGAATGGTGGTGGTGAGACGATTCAGAGCAGATATTGAAAGTTCTCCAGTTTTGACAGAAGCAGAACACCTGTGCTCAGACTTGTTCCTGGCCCTGCTGCTTCCCTTGCACTGCTTATGATTACTTGACTCTGTCAGCAATCACCTTAAGAGGGTGTGTTTTCCCACTGACTGAAGGAGTGAAGGGGTGCTGTCTTGCTTTCTAAGGCCCACCATTCCTGTGTCTGGCCTTACTGTTGTTTGTCCACACAAACGACACATTTTAAGCCATTTAAGTAAGTGCCATGCAGGAAACGATTTTAAGAGTGCATGTTGTTAAATATTTGCTCTTAAGCTAATTAAATAAGGAGTTTTGCGGGGGTATTGAATCTCTTTATCTCCCAAGCTGCTTTTCCAAACATCATCTGTTGAGTTCTTTGTTTCTAAATGTGTATGTTTTATGGCACACCCAGTTCATGAAAACTTTTCTCTTCAACGAAGCTTTGGGGTGATTAACATTCAATGGCCTTTTAAATGTGTCTTTAGGAAAGGGGTTAATGGTTTGTTTTGTTTTGTTTTTGCTTTTGTATTTTTGGGTGAAGGGCAGTATACAAATTTAATAAAGGATAGTGGTAATGATGACGATGTTTTGTGTTGCCTGTTTTTTCTCTTCCAGTCCTACCTCTCAAGCACCAGGAGTTTGTCACCCATGTCTGGACTCTTTGGTTCCATTTGGGCCCCCCAGAGTGACATCTATGAAAGCTGTTGCCCAGTCAGTGCCACCACTCAGCATTCAGCCCAGGTGGAAAACCAGGCAGTTCTTTGCAAGCAGGAATGCTACCCGAGATTTAACCCATTCCGTGCCTATATGAACTTGGACATATGGACTTCAGCAGCCAACCGGAATGCAAATTTCCCTCTTTCTAGGGAGTCGGGTTACTGTGGAAACATGTGAAAAGGAATTTTATTTTTAAAATGTGAAATAAAAGATGCTTTCAGTTTTGATTACTAGAATAAGCTGGTTGTTGAACTAGACTTCAATGTTGGTGGATATTTTGGCACTTTTGTATGGAAAATAAAACTTTTTTTTACTGAGGTTTCTGGATTTTCCGCTTTCTTTTTATTGTTGTTGTTTATTATACTTCCTAATTGCACTTTTTGTGAAAGTAATTCAGAGCAAATTACGACAATAACAAACAGCATATTCATTAAAACAATCATAAAACAAAACAGATAAATCTATGAAAACAATATTTTAAGAAATGGAACAACAACAGCTCCCCCCCAAAAAAACCAACCACTGATAACTCTCAAATAATAAAGCCAAGCTAAATAAAAGAGCAACCTGGCAGCCTAGAATCATAGAAACTTGGGTTGGAAGGGACACAAAGGGTCATCTAGTTCTCCCCTTTCCCCAAGGAGCAGGACTAGGATCTAATAGAATTAAGTTACAAGAAGGCAAATGTGAGTTAAATCTTAAGATATGCTTGACAGAACAGTTTGACAATGGAAAAATGTGGGTTCTCCCTGCTGGAAGACTTCAGACCGAGGACAAACAGTTGCCGGTTGGCAGACGCTCCACATTTTCCTGCATTAAGATGGACTTTATGGCCCTACAAAGTCCCCAAAGAGCTCCATAATTCCATGATGAGAAGGTTGCCCCAGTATATGTTGTTTTCTTTTCCCTTAAATTCACTCTCCATTTGCCTGTTGTTGGTTTAAAAGTAGTGCTAAGTGAATGTTTCATCAGTGCAAGGATTTCTGCTTGGGTAACAGTCATCCTCTCATTCCCCTATGTACCCCCATAATCTAGGGATTTCCTCAACCCTCTGGAGCAGATTTGGGGAGGGTGCAGAGTACCTGTCGGAAGAGGAAAGGGGGGAAAGCCCTATTGTACAAGCAGATGTCCTTGCACAGATGCGCAACATTCATTGAATAGCCATCCAAGTCCTTTGAGGAAAGGTAAAAGGAGCTGGAAATACTTAGTATTTTGATAAGAAATTACGTGATAGCAGAGTAGAATACAGATCAACCAAATGACAAGAAAGGGAATTTCAGCTAAACATTGCGGAAGAACTTCCCGACTGTATGAGTGACTCTATTCAAAGGATTGTCCAGGTATGTTTTTTTTCAACCACTAGATCAGGAACTGTCATACATTTTGTAATTGTGCAGTGTTTACTAGCAGGAAGTAGCAAATTTGCTAAGGGTTTTGAGAGCTCTGCATTCTTTCTGTTTATAGGAACTCTTTCTGAAAGCAGTATGTCGAGAAACTAGTTTTGCAACCACCATTAGTCATATTACTCTGTTGTTATTATAGAACTGTCTTGGCATTGTCATCCTAAATCGAAGTCTTCAAATATCTGAATGGCAGTCACACAGAAGATGATGCATACTTATTCCATCGCTCCAGAAGTGCAAGTCCAGAACTGATGGGTGAGCACAGGAGAAGACACTACCTAATGGTAAGAGTTGTTGAACAACAGAACAGTCTCCCTTGGAGGTGGACTCTTCTTCACTGGAGATACTTTAAGCAAAGGCTGGGCACTCAGGTGTCAAGAGATGCTATAGCTGCATCTTGTGTAGGTCCTACATGGAACAGAGAGTTGGACTAGATGACTTCTTAGACCTCTTCCTTTCCAACTCTGAAATACTATGATAAGAGTGCCAGAAACCAAGACTGGTAACAACAGAAAAAGAGAGCAAGTAGCTCAGCATGCAGAGGGCCCAAAATTTAGTCCCATTTCCTGGCACCTTCTGTTGGAATGATGATCTCAGCAGTCCTACAAAAGGCTGCCTGAGGCAGAGGCGTAGCAAGCCCAGGTGGTACCTGGTGCGGAATTTTTTTGGTCGGCTTGGGAGTTGGGTGAGCACTGAATGTCCGCCCCCCCTTCCTATGCCTCTGCGCCCCCACCCCCATGACTCTCAAGGACCCCGAGCTGTCGGGGGGAGCTATGCCACTTTGCTGGGACGCTGGCAAAGCTGTGTCTTCTCGGGAACCACGGCTCCCGTCCTTCCCCCTCCCACCTGGCTCACTCTAAAGCAGCAAAGTGGGAGCCGCTTACAGGGAGACTGGGAGCGGGGGCCCTGGCTCGCTGTAAGCGGCTCCTGCCAGTGGCGGAGGGATCTCACCGCCATCTGTACAGAGCTCCAGCGACACTGGTGGCAAACCGCTATGTACAGTGCATGTGCGGCGTCGCTGCTTACAGCGCAAGCATGTGACACTGTGCATGCGTTGTATGTAGCGGTTTGCCGCCGGCGCCGCTCGAACACCGTACAGATGGTGGTGGGATCCTCTGCTCGTGGCTGCAGCCACAAAAAGAGGATCCTCCACATGTGGCTGCAGCAGCACGATGGTTGCTTGGGCCGGGGCAGCAGGGCAAGCACCCTGTGGGGTGTCTTCTTGTCACCCTCCCAAACATGGAACCCTGGGTGCACCGCTGCCCCCCCCCCCGCACCTTGCGACGCCACTGGCCTGAGGGTCTGGGGAGTCAACTACCAGTGCATAACTAATTATTGGGTTCTGTATGAGGCAGTTTTATATGTTTTAACTTTTGCTCATTAGCTTTCACAGGTGTGTGTGTGTGTGTGTGTGTGTGTGTGTGTGAACTTTATGGATGTGGCCATTGTGGACACAGCTGTTAAGATCAGAAACAAGAATTGGTAGCCCAGAAAATGGTACCAAAATAGATGCGAGTTCAGCTGCTAGATTGCAAGGGATTTTAAATTACTCCTTCCACAGTTTTCTTCTAAAATACATTTAAAATATATGTTAGCCTCAAAACTTCTTTTTATGCAATAAATCCCATTTTGCAACCGAAACTGAGTCACACTAGAGAATACACACACAAACACAGCTTTACTTTTTTAAAGACTTCAGTCCTATACACACTTATTCTGGGAGTAAGGGTTACTGAATTTACTGGATTTCCAGTGGACCTTACACAGGCATATATAGGATTGCATTGTTACCAAGGCTGCGGTCCTATGCACATTTACTCAGGCGTAAGTCTTGATGAAGAAAGCAGGGTTTACTTCTGGGTAATGTGGAAGATTGGGCTATATAAATAAACAACCTTTCCTTCAATAAAGTTCATGGGACTTGGCAAGTGAGTGAGTACAGAATGAATATTGCAGGTTAAGTTGAATTAAAACCATACCCAGCCTTTCCCATTTTCTACTTCAAACATCCAAGCAGCAGACACAATGGTTGTGTCTGTAGGTTCCAAAAGAGAACACAACCTCTTGAGTGACTGTGCTTATTTTAAGAATCTGGAAGTTGAATGTTTCCTGTTACCCATTTCAATAATTTTAAGTCCCTTGTGGCATATGGTTTTACTTCCTTGAATAATTCTCTGATCTGAAAAGAATAGATGAAATTCATAGAAAAGCCAAACAATAAAGTTTCAAATTCATAACAGAGAATGTGTGTGCATTACAGCGGTACCTCGTGTTACATACGCTTCAGGTTACAGACTCTGCTAACCTGGAAATATTACCTCAGGTTAAGAACTTTGCTTCAGGATGAGAACAGAAATCGTGCAGTGGTGGCACGGTGGCAACAGGAGGCCCCATTAGCTAAAGTGGTGCTTCAGGTTAAGAACAGTTTCAGGTTAAGAACA